CGCTTGCTCCAAGTCAAAGACTCCTGGGAAACCTTCACATGGCAACTGGCCATGAAGATGCGGTCGGGGGCCACCTTCAGCAAAGCTACCAAGGAACTACTGGCCGACACGACCACGATGAACGACATCCTTTCGCAACCAGCCAAGAAACAACCACGGACAGAGACCCGACGTCCACAGAACAACAGTAACCAGTATCGGCAACCCAAGGGCAGAGGCAAGCACACCTGGGGCAACAAAGGGTACCAGACCACTTCGTACCCATACAACAACCAGCCATACGCGACCTGGGGACCAACCCAATTCGCCAACCCCGCCATCCCCTCGATGCCTACAACCCCAGGACCCTCGTTCAAGGGCGACACACCCAAAGGAAAGAAGGGGTCCGGGAAAGGCAAGAAAGGCACCAAATCCCACGGGAAGAACAAGGCGCGTTAGGGACAGCACGGCCCAGGGGACCAGTCCCCTGGAGCCGACCCGGCGCGTTGCCTCCATCTTACCAGACAACTCATACAACACACGCCCATTATCCTGATCTCAGTTTTCGACGGGATCGGCACAGTGTCACTTGCCCTGCACCAACTGGGCGCCAACGTCTCCCACTGTTTCCGGTGGGAAACCGATCAGTCCTGCAATCAGCTACCTCATTCACTCTTCCCCACGACGCACATGGGCGCCGTAGAAGATTTTGACATCGAACAACTGGCTGCGATCATCCAGGACATACCCAATCACGAGAGACACATTATCCTCTTCACCGGTGGCCCACCGTGCAAGGACTACTCCAACATTAAACAACACCAACCGGGCCGGGCCGGCTCACAGGGCAGCCTCTTCGACACCGCACTCTCCATCCGCGACGACATTCAGAACAGATGGCCACATCAATCGCTCACCCTGCTAGAGAATGTCGTGCCTCACCCCGAGGTACGCGACGACTTCGACCAGCTGTCCCACTCCATGGGCCTACGCCCAGTCCTGATCGACGCGGCCGACGGCCAAATCATCTCTCGTCCCAGAATCTGGTGGGCCTCGGTCGATTGGGAATCCTTGCCTGCCACATTGAGCAGGCATACACCTTGGCAACTCTCCCTCGACACTCAGCTGTTCCCACCGGTGCTCTTCAATCCCATTGCAGCCGAACTACAACCAGACTGTCACATCCGGGACTTCGACCCGCCGAGTGTCCTAACACACGGACAACTCTTCCACTGCCTTACCACCCAGGCCAGTACGGACGAAGGCCGCCCACCACCACGCAGCCAACAACTACCAGACGACACATGGCAACGGTGGCAAGCCGACCACAAACAATTCGCCCCGTGGCAATACCAACAGAAATACCTGGTCCGGAAACACGGACACGACTGGCAAGTCGCAACACCCGAGCACCGCGAAGCAATGATGGGATTCCCGCGCGGCTGGACGGGACCACACAACACCGACCGGACCAGGAACACCATGCTGGGGAACTCCTGGCATGTGCCCACAGCCATGTGGATCCTATTCCTTTTGCTACTACAGCCAGCCTTCGGAATTCCCCCGCCCACGCAGCGGGTACGTCGCGGATCCCTCGGAATGATGGTCGACCTCTGGCTTCACAACCCACGACCATGGGGACCACCTCCGAGAGCATCGGAAACGCTACATATGCCACAGAACGACTGGCAGGACCACTTGACCTGGGCCAAACACCACGCTACCTCGCTGCAACAGCCCCAGCACTGCGACCCGACAATTTTGTGGGCCATCGCAATGCAAAGGACCATACCACAACTGCCACAACTACAGCACAACGTGTTACGCGACATCGCGGACCTTCGCGATGACCTGACTACGGATACACTTGCATGGTTCGAACAGCTGCCCCCACACTGCCAGCGAGCCTATCGACAACCGAAGATGATCACTCAGGTACCACTCATGACACACTTGCTACATTTGCTTAACTACCCACAGGCACAACTCCTGCACGAGGAACTCTCTCTAGGCTTCGACCTCCTGGGGCCTCTGCGACCCGGAGTCAACTGGCACATTCGCCACGACCACAAATACCTGGACCCATGTGACCTTGTAGAACTCAGGTCATTCAACAAAGCCTACATCCAGCGCAAATTACAACAACACAAGATCGACGACCACTGGACTCTTATGGCCACCGAAATCGCGGGGGAAGTGGCCCAAGGACGTATGGCCGGCCCCTTCGAGGCACCGACTCATTGGACCTCTCGCACAGTACCCCTGCACCTTTTCCCCCACACCAGCCGGCTCCTTCCTATCCCACATCGCGATCCCATTGTGGCAGTCGCATTCAGCATACAACAGACCGGATCGGACGGAAAACCCAAAGTCCGGAGAGGAGAAGACTGGCGCCGCAGCGGCCACAACCAGACGTGCTCTATGCACGATCAACCCTACCATCACACACCCGACCACTACATCCAATGTGCGAGACAATATCACGACGACGCACACCCGCTACATGTGTGGGGACACGACCACGACGGCGCCTACCGTCAACTGCCCCTCGCACAACCGGAGGTAGCATACGTGCTACTCATCACACCCGACGGCCCAACTCTCTGGCACCACCACGTGCTCCTGTTCGGCTCCGCTGCCAGCGTCTGGGGCTACAACCGCTTCGGCGATGCACTCACAGCACTCGCCCGCGTACTAACACTCACACCTGCCCTGCACTACGTTGACGACTACGGGGCCATACAACCCAGTCACATCGCGACCAGTTCCTTCTCCTCATTCAGCAAGCTCAACTCACTACTTGGATTTCATATGAAGACATCCAAGGAACAACCACCGGCGCCCTCTCACAAAATACAAGGGGTTTATGTCGACCTGTCGGCAACACACGCAACCCTTCGACCGTGCCCAGACCGAGTCCGTACACTGTCACACACCCTGTCTCAGTGTCTCGAACAGGGAGGTATGTCGAACGACACCGCCCGACGCACTGCCGGCAAGTGCAACTTTGTCACCGGACACCTGTTCGGTCGAGTAGGGCGATCGGCGTTAGCCGCCCTATACCACAAAGCACACAGCACTTCCGACCGGATCGACAAACCAACTCGAGCTGCCATTCTGTGCCTCCTGAATATCCTGCAACATAGCTCACCCCGCAGCGTCCCACTGTCCACCAGGCCCAGAGACCTTTCAATCATATACACCGACGCGTTCTGCCGGCAGGGCGAGACGGTCTGGCGTGTCAAGGACGCAGGGGATCAGGATTGCCTGCCACCCGATTGGTCGCACGACAACGGTTGGGCAGCGGTGCTGTTCAGCCCACAGGCACAAAGGACCCGCGTGGTCTCGGGCGCACTACCCCCTAACTTACTCCAACAAGTGAGTACTGGCACCAACGCCATTTATTTCCTCGAGACATGGGCCGCGTTGATCGCTCCTGTGATCTTTCGACCATGGATCACTGACACATACCTCCAGTTGTGCGACAACGAAGCGGCCAAACACGCCATCAGACGGGGAGTTGGGAAACACCAACCACTAAACTGCCTGCTCGGTGCACATTGGACATGGCACAACCGACAGCAATTGCAGTTGCATATTGCCCGTGTGCCCACACATGCTAATATAGCCGACCCCTTCAGTCGACATGACATGTCCCTTGCCTCGAAGCACCACTGGCAGATTCTGGAACCCCCCACGCACGCTCTACATAAACGGACGTGCAAAATCATTGGCGATATTGAGTTCGCCCATGCCGTCGGATTTGACGACATAAAGGAACTCCAACAGTTCCACAGGAATCATTCCTCCTGAACCCGACTTGACTTCCACGTCCCGTGAGAATCTTGCCCACAGTAAGGAGACTTGATCGATGTAAGGATGCCTTCAACGTGCCTTTTGTCTAGGTCGTTCGCCTTCGGCTTCACCTTCGACGGGAGTTGACCTACGACGGGAGAACGTCCACTCCCTCTTCGAAACTCTGCTGTACAACATTTTGGGTTTGCATGCTCTTGCATTTGCTTACCTTTTATTTTGTTGTACTTTACTTTCGAGTCAGTGGTGTCTGAGAGACACGCACACCGACTCCAGAGATTGAAACAGATCGACCAACAGGTACGATCCCACCCACTTGAGGCAGTGCGGTGAAAATAAATCGCCCGACGCTGGTTGCCGTCGTACTCTCTGGAGCGGTTTGTTGTTGCGGTTAACACTTGTGTTAAAAGTAACAACCGATAGCGGAAGGCATTTGAATCACACTCAGATTCGAACCTTGAGTGCCTGCAGGATGACACTGCTTGTTTCATGCTCCGTTCGCCATTTTGGCGAATTAGCCAAATTTTTCTTTCCCACCCACCCTCACCAGTTTTCACTGCATGCCCTCAGTACCTGTCGGTCTGCATTTATAGCATCGAGTGAGAGAACGGGAGAACGTCCACTCCCTCTTCGAAACTCTGCTGTACAACATTTTGGGTTTGCATGCACTTGCATTTGCTTACCTTTTATTTTGTTGTACTTTACTTTCGAGTCAGTGGTGTCTGAGAGACACGCACACCGACTCCAGAGATTGAAACAGATCGACCAACAGGTACGATCCCACCCACTTGAGGCAGTGCGGTGAAAATAAATCGACCGACGCTGGTTGCCGTCGTACTCTCTGGAGCGGTTTGTTGTTATACGCTCATCGACCTTTCTAGGGAGCCTTTCTTTGACAAGTCAAATCTGGTCAAGAAGGGCGATTGCAAGGATGTCACGGTAGCAAGAACTTCTGTGCAAATGTTCGGGATCCATTGACGGCTCAATGGTAGGTAAGAAGAAAACACAGCGGGCCCCGGGCCCGTTTATGATCCTTCAGGTCTTGTACATATATATATATATTATGTATATATATATATATATATATGCAGGGATCCATTTTTGGTTTTACACCCGTGTTTTGTGTTATGTTCCCAAACATAAGTTAACAACATATTTTGTAGCGGAAAGACTCGGCCCGCCTTTGAGGGAAGACGCATCAAGCTCAGGTTTTGCAGCGGGGCATGTCGCGCCTGTTCCAGACGAAGCACGTGTCTGGACTGCCCGCTGCATCAATGGCACGCTATTGTTGTTTCTGATTTGCACAGTTTTTCTGGCGACCTGAATTCTAAGGATTCATGATGTATTCCACATTCTCTTGAACCATCGTTCTTTCCACAAACCAGCTGTTTCCTCTGGCTTTTGATGGTTTCCTAGACAGATTCCTGGAAAAAATGGGGACGTTACCCCGAGATTGTACAATTGGTGGTTTGGAATTGGTGGTTTGGGAGTTTGACCCCAAGTCTCTTTTTACAAAATGCAAGGCATCCACTAAACGCCAACCCACCAATCAGAGATAAGTTGACAGTGGGGGAGATGGCCGAATGTTGGCATCGGCCGTGCTTTTTCTTCTTCTTTTTTTCCTGCGCCATTTATTTCGGCAATCCGAAACAATTACTTAACTGTGCAGTGGTGTCAAAACAGGATTCAGTGGAAATTTGGATTGGAACATCCCAGCTTTTAAGCACCCCTCCTTTACCTGCGAGGCCAAGTGCCAGCACACACGGACTGATTTGTCCCTTGAAACTTGAAACCCCAAGAACCCGATGTTGACGGGAAAATGCGGTTGGGCGGGATGTTGTTTTTCTAATCCGGGTTCGGGAGTCACTTTTTCAGCGAGCGATGCCAAGGGAATTCCCTTCAAAGTTCCAAGTCGTAGGGACGGGAATCCCACTGTGGTATCACAGATATGAGAGCCATTTCCCTAAACGTGCGGTTTTTGGGCCTGGTGCTGCAAAATCCCCGTTTTGTCTGTTCATGGTGTGTCAACGGACATGGGTCGCCGTTTGGGACAGGGGTCCTTGTATTTTGATAGGGTTTCATTTCCTTAGTTGATCTGTATTGCCTTTGCATCTTTGGGTGTCCTTCATTTGCTCTTTTAACGAGCAACAGATGCACTGTTTACACCTCTGGCCATCTTATATTTGTGTGGGTTGAGGTTGCCGTGTTCAAATGGATCAAACAGTTGGTTCAAAGGGAAGTCAGAAGGAACAGGTTCTTTCCGGGGGCCATTTTGTGCCACACTTTTTGGACTTATACTGTATCTCTCCTGGAGCAAGCCCTAGCCGCGGCTGGCAGGCTGATTACGCTGGTGCTGGTTCTGGGTGTGGCTGTGGTGAGCCTGGTGGAGCTGGCAGCGGATGAGTATGTGTTGGAGACGCTCATTGCGTCTTGACAGATTTGCTTTGGCGCATGTTGCTTGGCTGTTAGGACTCTAACCTTTTGCCAACTAATGGGTTTTCCATTGAACCACTAAAAGGTAAGCTCTTAGCAGGGGAGCAGAAAGCAACCAAGTTTGGGTCTGCCGTTTTTGAGGATACCGGTTCTCAGGTTGCTTTAAATGGAGTAGCCATTTGGTGTTTCTCAAAATGGGGGTTGGCCTCCTAAATTGGGTTGCTTCTTCGGTTGCCCTTTAAAATATCAGCTAAAGGGTCCAGCATTATGAACAACTCCCATGTTTCGGTTTGTCTTTTTGAGGGTTCTCCCTTTGTGACCAAAGGACGCCGTGCATGTTTTTTGGAGAGTGCCGACGAAGGGGTTGGGGAAGGCTAAATTCGAAGAGTCTCTTTGGAAAAGGGATCTGAGCGCCCAAGGGGCCGAGGCAAATTTGGGAGGGAGCCTTGGCTCTTTATTGCTTTGCTTGTTGGGAACTGCGCTTTTTGGTGCGCGAACCAATTTTTCATGCCCCAAGGTCAGCCTTTGCATGCTCCTGGGCGCCCGCTGCGTCAATGATGAGACCATGCCCTGGGGGCCGAGCTTGGAAGGCAGGGATTTGGTGCAGACTCAGATTGACTTGAATCATGTTGGTAAGGATTTTTACCTCTCTGGTCTTGTAGGGATTGAACAGTAATGAGGGGTGTCCTTTTACGTAGGTCAGTTTGGTCGAACATACATGGAATTCACTGGTTTCAGTTTGTTGCCAGTGCTGGGCCCAGACCCCTGTCGGCCAATCTAGGCATTCTAGCCCTGGAGGGGCAGGGAGTCCTTCACTGCTGTATGTGTTCTAGCTTTTCACCCGTTGAATTCCCTTCATTGGTCGTGAAAGAAGCGTTTTTGCGAAAATACCAAGGGTCCCAGTAAAACTCATAGAAACCCAGGGGCTTCTCCTCAAAAAGGCTTCCTCCATTTGCCCTCTAGGGGGGGTACGATGCATGTTGGACATTTAAGCCATCGCCTTTTCCACGGCAGGACGCCACCATTTGGGGTTTGTAAAGGGGAAGACTTGGGCCGAAGTTGGGAACTCTGTCCAGATTCTGGGGGCAAATCAGTTCGGGACCTTTGAGAGGGTTTTGATTTGCAACCGAACGTCCGGGATGAAGGTCATTTCTTGGGGAAGCCTTGTTTTGGTTTGGTGAACTATTGCGGAACAAACATCATCCCAGCAGAAGAAGAAGGTTGTCTTTTGCAGGATTCAGGCCACCGACAGTCACGTTCCTCGGCGACGCAGGCGCAGGCCCGGACCCTTCGGCGCGCGACCTGTCCAGCGATCGGGAGGAGCGGCGGCCGAGCCCCCGAGCGTCGGCGCGCGGCCTGTCAGAAAACCGGACCATGCCCTTTTCGGACACAACCGGCAGTAGGATTTCCACCAAGGGAGCCATGACCTACAGATTTGGAGTTTCATGATAATTTCGGATGGGCGAAATCCAATTCGCACCAGGGACCTGCTCCTCCGGAATCCTACAAAAAAGCGGGTTCCGAAACATAACCTGGTTTTCGACGAGCAGCAGGTCTTTTTCTGCCCACCCCACTTTTTGGTAGGTTCTTCGAGTACCAGGGATGGATGAAGTTCCTTTTGGGAGAAAAGCCAACGCCTCCGAAACGGAGCCGTGGCTTTTTGGTCGAGGCCTCCACTCCAAGCTGCAGCTCTTCGCCAACCAGGGCAACCTGCCGGAGGCCAAGCGCTGCTTCGAGCGGATACAAGCGGAGGCCAAGCCCACCGCGCCTTGCCACGCCGAAAAAAGAAAACGTGGCCATGCGGCTCTTGCTGTTTTTCTTCTCCTGTTTGAGTGGAGGTTATAGTAAGGCTCTTGTGATTATCGACCTCCGTAGCATCTTGATATATAATCAACATGGGCTTTGGGCACTGCTCATATGAGGTTTCGTCGAACCTAGCAGTCTATTGCTAATTTGGGAATCTGGGAGCAAATGTTGTGATGCTCAGAGGAGGCTATGTATATATATATATATATATATGGTACCCCCCCCTCCCAAAACCCAGGTTTTGGGAGAAAACACTGTAAACACCAGTGTTTTCTCACAAAAAACTGCATCTGCCAGAGCACACACTTTTCAGGCCCACTTTCTCCATCTGTCTCATTTGGCAGCCAATGCTGCAGCCAAACACTATGATTGCGTAAGGGCATCTCTTCAAGGAAGCTCTCTGGAAACTGAAAAAACTGAAAAAGCTGAAAAACTGAAAAAAAACTGAAAACACTGAAAAAACTGAAAAAACTGAAAAAAACTGAAAAAAAACTGAAAAACCAAGGATTCAGGGGAACATGGGGGCTGCCCCCCCCCCCCAAGGCATGTCCCCCTGAATCCTTGGTTTTTCAGTTTTTTCAGTTTTTTCAGTTTTTTCAGTTTTTTCAGTTTTTTTTCAGTTTTCTCCTAGCATTCACCTTTATTATTCCCCTAGTCTTGTCTGAGCAACCAGGCACTATGATTGCGTAAGGGCATCTCTTCAAGGAAGCTCTGAAAAAACTGAAAAACCAAGGATTCAGGGGAACATGGGGGCTGCCCCCCCCCCCCAGGCATGTCCCCCTGAATCCTTGGTTTTCATTTGTTTCAGTGTTTTCAGTTTTTTCAGTGTTCTCCTAGTATTCACCTTATTACTCACCTAGTATTTTCTGAGTATTCCCCTAGTATTGCCCTAGTATTCCCTTAGAATTATCTTGGTATGCACCTAGTATTTCCTAGTAAGGGAAGGGGAATACTAGGGGAATACCTTTAGTATTGCCCGTGTATTCCTTAAATATTCTCTTGGTATACCCCTAGTATTCCCTCCGAATTCCCCTAGTATTCTCCTAGTGTTCACCTTCAATATTATTGCCCTGAGTATGTCCTTAGTATTGCCCTATGAATGCCCTAGTATTCCCCTATTATTGCCCTAGTATTCAGTTAATTTAGTAGTCTCTTCGTATACCCCTAGTATTTCCTCACTACCCCATAGTATTCCCTTGCTATTTCCCCTAGTAAAGGGAGGGAATTCCCCTAGCACTTCCCTAGTAGTGCCCTAGTATTGCCCTAGTCAGGAAGCCTGAGAAAAGTCAGACATATTGAGCTTGAGAGTATACCCCTACTATTCCCTCAGTATTCACTAGTATTCTCCTTTAGTATTCCCCTAGTATTCCCTACTTAGTATTGCCCTAGTATTGCCCTAGTATTGCCCTAGTATTGTCCTAATATATATATATAAATTTAAATATTACCTTGGTATACTTCTAGTACCCCCTCAGTATTCCCAAGTATTCTCCTAGTATTCACCTTTAATATGGCCCTAGTATTCCCTGAGTATGTACCTAGTATTGCCCTAGTATTCCCCTAGTATTGCCCTAGTATTCCTTTAGTATTCTCTTGGTATACCCCCAGTGTTTCCTCACCACCCCCGTAGTGTTCCCCAAATAGTTCACTAGCAAAGGAAGGGAATACTAGGGGAATATCTTCAGTATTATCTAACTAACTAGGCAGCTAAATAGATAACTAACTGATTAGCCAATTAACTAGCTAACTGGGTTTAGAGCTAATTCATTGCAACTAGTTAACTGACTAAGTTGACTTGCTGACTGTTTTTTGACTAACTAATTGAACTTGCCAAATTTTACTGCTTGAACTTACAAAATATGCGTTTCGCAGAGGCGGAAATGCACATGTTTCTCAAAAGTAGCATTTTTCCAGTGATTTTGGCAATTGTCCAGGTTCAAAACCTGGGTTTTGGGAGGGGGGGGGTAGCATATATATATATATATATATATATACACGGAACCCTGACGCTTGGGAGGTCTTCCCATTGTTTGGTGACTTTAAGCATCCCCCGGCGGGCGAAATCCAAGGCAGGCTCCTGAAGTTAGGGTAATAATCCAGGGGGACTTTTGCTTAAGGAGGCAGGCTATCCGTGAGTAGGGAAGGTGGTTGCAATCCCTAAAGGCCAGTATAAAGAAGGTGGTGGCAAGCATATCTAAATCAAATACCATAAGCATCCTCGTGGCCCCCTGCATAATTGTACAAAGCTTATAACCGGGATGGAGCTTTGGGGGGTGGAAACAATAAGGGAGACTCGCACAATGGCTGGTTTTCGCTCCTCAAAACGAAGCGGGGAAGGTGGTTGCAAAAGTCCGCAGAAACACAATTACCTAAACGTGTCCAAAGCAATCCCATACATCCCCAGCAAATTCTCCGAATCACCAAGCAACTGCAAGCAACTACAAAAACTCCAGAAAGACGCAAACAACGCAAATACCTCCACATCCCCCAAAAACATTTCGAAGAGTGGCTTACGGCAGTTTTAGGGTTTCATCCATGCCAGCCGGTGCGAAGTGGATGTCCGTCAGGTGACGTCTCTAAACATCTCTGAAACCGAGGTGCGCACCTTTAACATCATCCTGAGCGCCTGCATCAAGTGCTCGGGCTGCGTCGAAGCGGAGCAGTGGTTTGAGCGCATGGAGGAAGCCCAGGTGGTGCCCAACCAAGCCAGCTACTCCATCCTGGTGTCAGGCGGGACACGTGGGTTCTAGCCTCCCAACAAGTATGGAACCTGAAAGGGACCCTGGAAGACAACTTTCCTCTAACACGGACCCTCTTTCAGGTTGGTGCAAGCCGGCCCAATTTGGGTGGTCCCAGATTTTGAGACCCAGAACTGCCACAATTCAAAGGCGAGCAGGGCTATCCATGCTCATGAAAGGTCAATGGGGCAACTGGGGTACAAGTGAACCTCCACTATTCAATCCGAGTTTGTGTGCTGGAAGCCTAATTGATTCGTATAGCCCTGTGGATTAAAAGGGAGTGTCAAGTAAGCCAACCACACTTCATACCAAAATCATGGTAACTTACGGTCGTGCTTCCCTTGTTCCCTCCAATGCTTAAACCGCTTCCAGGCTGGGCACGTGCTGGCGCGCCGGGATTGGCGTGGAGGCGCGGCCAAATGGGCCGGGGGTTTTGCTGGAGGTGGCGGTTGTTTGGGGCAACCGGGGCTCAATGCATTGGATTGTTGCCTTGTGATGCTTGCGGCTTTCAGTTAAACCTCATCAACCCCCGTTCTAGCTATCGCCCTGGCTATGCAGTATGACTGGATAGAGTCAAGCAATGGACATATACAATCTTCGTCAATAGACACATGTCGCATTGCTCATTCACAAAAGGGGACTCAGAGGTTTATTAGCAGATACATTCAAGTGTGGACATATACTATCTTCATCAATAGGCACACGTCACATGCACATTCGCAAAGGCTGGCTTCAAGGGATTCAATATATACATAAATATGTATATAGATATATATATGGTACCCCCCCCCCAAAAAAAAAAACAACAACAACCTAGGTTTTGTGGGGGGCAGCACACTGGTAAATTCTGCATAACAGATTGTAACAACCCTGCAAAATTGCACGTTGTTTTCCATGTATGCAGTGAGCACACAACTCCAGACACATGCATTTTACCTGCACCAAATGCATGTTTCTGTAGAACCTAGAGCAACCACCCTGGAAAAATGAAGATTTTTCTATTTTGGTAGTAAAAGTGAACAAATACAAAGGAACAGAAACCAAGCAAAGTAAAACAATAAAACTGTAAACAAGTAAAAAAGCAAAATATATGGACCCATGAAAAGTAATTTAAAAAAAAAAAAACATAACAAAATAGTAAAAAAAACAACAAAAAAAAACAGTAAAAACGTAAAGCCAGTCAAAAAGTAAAAAAAAAAAGTAAAAACAAGTAAAATATCTGGACTCATGAAAAGTAAAAAGGCAAACCAGCCAAAAGTAAAAAAGACTGTGGTTTTTTACTTCTAGTTTTTTTTGGGGGGAGACAGTAAAAATGATTAGTCTTTTTTTTTTTTAAACTTTTTCCCAATAAAAGTAAAACCCATATATAAACACCCCTAATCTTTTTTTACTTTTGACGGTTTTTCTTTTTTTTACTTTTCATGAGTCAGATATTTTACTTTTTACTTGTTTACTTTTTTGCTTTTTACTTTTTTTTATTTTTTTTTGATTTTTACTTATTTTTTAATTACTTTTTTACTTTTCATGGGTCCATATATTTTGCTTTTTTACTTGTTTACTGTTTTATTGTTTTACTTTGCTTGGTTTCTGTTCCTTTGTATTTGTTCACTTTTACTACCAAAATAGAAAAATCTTCATTTTTCCAGGGTGGTTGCTCTAGGTTCTACAGAAACATGCATTTGGTGCAGGTAAAATGCATGTGTCTGGAGTTGTGTGCTCACTGCATACATGGAAAACAACGTGCATTTTTGCAGGGTTGTTACAATCTGTTATGCAGAATTTCCCAGCGTGCTGAGTTCACCACATGAAAATATCTGCTAAACAAGAGGGCATCAGGTACATCTGCAGACAAGAGTCTATTGAAAAGACACACAAATGATTTCCTCTTCCTTCATCTTGGAAATCATTGTGGATGAAGAGGAGAGAAATATAAGATAGTAAAATAAAGAGAAGATATGAATGGGTGAAAGAGATCCCATTCATCTGTCTCTTAATTGCTTTCTCTTTACCTTCATCTTGGGTTTATCTGTAAAATCCTTGATGAAGAGAATTAGAATGGATGGTTATTAATATAATCCAATATTCAATATTAGGTGACAAATCAAGAGATGCCACCTACAAACCCACTCACCCGGCCCATTCCTTCGTGTGGCCGGTGATTGACAGGCTGGAGAGGAGAAAGGAAACAGCCTGGATTCATCATTTGGCTTCTCTTCCTTGTCTTTTCCCTTCATCTCCGGATCCAGATGGTTAGGAGAGGTTCCAGAAGGAAGGAATGGCATGTGATAAAGGGAGATATGACCTCATCCAGCATTAGAATTTGGATGAGGAATAGAAAGGCTTGGAGCCAAATAATAAATCTCTAGATTAATAGCATTTACACATATTTTGCTATCCTATATTTCTCTCCTCTTCATCCACAATGATTTCCTTTTCCTTCATCTTGGAAATCATTTGGTCTCTCCCTTTCTCACCTCTTAATCACATCCTAGATACAGAGGTGAAAGGGATGTGATGTGAGAAAGAGATAGAGAAATAGAATGGTTTTATGATGCATCCCTCACCGTCTCATCTTGAGATCTATTAATTATTAACTGCGGTTCTTTCATATTTTTATATTTCTATCTTTATCAGGTTATTTGTATACATTGATATTTTGCATTTGTGTCTCTAGGAACTACCGAAAGGACTAGAATGGTGGACATTTTTTCATCCACTATTTCATTCCCGTGTCATCTCACTGTCTCACTCACTTTCCTGTTCCTTCGTCACCCATCATCATCTCCCTTTCTTTTCTGTTGTTATTTTCCTTTCGTATCTTATAGAATCTCAGGAATACAAATGAAAGGGAAATAATACGATATGAAAATAGCTGTGTCCAAGAGAGAAAAGACACAGCGGCTATTAATGAAGACATCTTAAGAATATGTGGGTTACATTTGGATGAATCTTAGAGAGACACCAAATGTAATGACCAGATGGTGACAAAGAAATCTCACCATCATTCATCTCTTTCCATCTCTTTTCCTTTACTGTAATCTCATGGTCTTTCACCTACAGCATAGAATGGTGGTTGGGTGAAAGGACATGTCACTCACCACCTCTTCATTCCTCATCTCTTCGTCATCTATCAGGGCACTGTCTGTCTTTACTTCTGTTCAGCCTCATCTGTTCAATCAGCTAAAATGACACTTGCTCAATCCACTCTGGCACAAATCCATTTGAAGAGTGATGAAGCCAGATGGCAGAAAACAAAGACCTACACTTCCTCAATCCACTCTGGCACAAATCCATTTGAAGAGTGACGAATTTTTTTGGGGCGGGGATAGCATATATATATATATACATATATGTATATCTACTATCTTCATCAATAGAAACCATATGACAGTTTGCTGGATTTTCCAGATCACCGCGGACTTTCGGGTTCGGATTTTTCACGGATGTAGGCAGGGTTCCTGCCGGCTCACTTCACATTTTGAGGTTGAATACATATGGGCTAGCATCACACTACTGTTGGGGGCAACAGCCGAGGGAATTTGGGCATTCGATTTGCGTGCGGTTTTCAACCCATTCCCAAGTTCCTGCCAGGTGGTTGGAGAAGATGTGCCTTGGCCGGCTCTTGGCAGCTCCACCCCACATCGATTCGGGGAGGGGGAAGAGTGATCTTTCGAGTTCCAATGTTTAAGAAATCAACCCCACCTTCCTTGCCCATGGAAATCGCTGGGCTCATATGTCTTTTGACGCTTTTTTGGTCAGTTTAGAGACAGGCGGAATCCACTAGTTTCAGTTGTTTCAAAACACGTACTGGTGCCATCCATTGTTTTCCAACAGGACGACATACATGCGCCTTTCCCAACGTCCTGGCTGGCGTATCCCGCCTTTCCCAACGTCCTGGCTGGCGCCACCCCTTGGCTGCCCCTTAGCCCACTCGGATTTATTTCTTGCATCAATCCACCTGCGGGTTCTTGATAAAATTTATTGGGTTGTGGGGTCTTTCTTTCCGGGGATTATTGCAGGGTGAAAACGAACACACACTCACACGAGACCATTTGCAACCAGCTGGTTGCTCCAACGACGGGTAGAAGCTTTGCACTCAGAAAGGGACCCCCTGAAAAGGCAAAACACACATTTGGTCTTACCAAACAAAGCCCTCGTTTTCTTCCAAGTTCCCCACTTGGGCTGCTGCGCCTGGCGCCTGGCGCCTGGCATTGCCCGAGGCAAGAGTCGGGGTCCGAACCCACGGCCGGGTGCTTCTTATCGCTGCTGGTGGCGGAGTGCAAGAAGGGCCAGCTGCATCAGGCGGAAGCCATCTTGGAGGACCATGGTTTTGGGGTAGGTTGTGTCAGGGTTTCCACCCCCAAACTACCCGGACCCATGGGTAGAGTGGTGAGTTAGTGGTGGTATCGTTGTATACCCAAATTTGCCTTGCAGTGGTTTTGAGATGGGGTGGGGAGAGCTCTCGCATTCTCAGCCCTTGGCATCGTTCTTCCGACCCTCCCATTTCTCCAGGGATCTTCCAACAGTGCCCAAATGTCGGGGCAAATTCTTACGGGCTCACCTGACCTAAAACTAGCTCTGACAAGGGTGAGGATGGAAAAGGAGTCAACCCTTAGATACTAGAGAACATTCCTGCGAGGCTGTACTTCCTGGTCCCTCCCCCATTTTCTCGGGAACAACTATTTGGATATACCAACTATACCCGCTTACCTGAAACCTGACTGGGAACCTCAGGTGTCTTTTTGGGGATGGTTACCACTCCACTGTTGTCTTTTTGGAAGGGTTTGTCGGTGTCCGCCGGGGCACCGGGGTTTTGACCCGCCAAATCAGCCGAGTCTGACCAACCGCTGGGCTTTTTGGATCGGCACCTCAGGACCTGACGCGGCAGTTCCCGAACGCGCGGCTGCAGGCTGGGTCCACATCTTTTCCCCCGGGTCAGTGCGCGAGGTGCAGCTGGAACCCTCATGGACAACTCAAGATGCTTGGCTCCTGATGGTACCGGGGCCCCGCATGTGACTGGTGACCAACGAACAACTATACAATGGAATGAAACATGTAAGAATTCGTCAAGCATATATGTTTCATTCATTCATCAATCTATTGTTTGGTTTATCTATTTTCTTGTTTTGTTTGCTTGCCTATCGATTTTCCTATGCCTCAACTCTCCTTCTATTTTTTTCACGGGAGCAAAGCCTGAACTGCAGAAGGATCTTTGGTTCCATTGCAACAGGCGACCACCGTGCTGCTGGACGCCTGCGCCAAGCACGGGGACCTGGAGGGCGCAGAGAGGCCGAGGGCCGTGTCCAAAACCAGGGTGTGAGGGAAGCCATGTTAGGGTTTGGTCTCATGTGGGTTCACTCTGGGGTGGGTGAGTGTCTTAAAGTTGCGGGACCTCAAAACAAGGCACCCCTTCAAACCACGCTCCTAGAAGAGCAAAACGACACCTTCAGATGTCTTTTCGTGGGTGAGAAGCTGGACCCCTTGAGCTAGAAAAGAACACAAAGAGGACAGACGGTGAGTTGGATTCCCGCCGAGACGGTGAGTTGGATTCCCTTGAACGGGGGAGAACCCGGAAGGCATGAACATGACCAAACAGCAAAACATAGGAAATACAACAAAAACAAACATGTGCAAGGAATTGCATGTGTTCAAACGTTGAAACAACCAAGATTCGAGACCTGCACACTTACTCCTACCCGCTAAGTAATATGTGGAAGGGGGGGACGTATGCCTCAAATAACCAATCCCCGTACGTTATGCCTTTGCAGATGCAACTCCACGCTTTTCAACCAGTTGCAGCTGGGGATGCGAGCTTGTGTTTGTTGTTTTTTGTTTTGAACAAGCACATCCTCATTCCCATGACTGATCACTGTAAGTCAAGTTTCCCAAGCCAAGGGGTAGGTTAAAGGGTAAAGGGCAAACACCCAAGTGTCTCACTTAAGCAAGAACAAAACCAGCACAGTCACTCCGGCACGTGCCAGCTCGCGCACGCGCAGGCTGATGCAAAGCATCGCGTCGGAGGCAGGGTTGGGCAAATGTTTACACAGCCAGGTTTCTGTCCAAAAGGGAGGTTGGGTGCTTTAGCCACGATTTAAGCTGACCCAAACGTGAGTGAGAGTCTTCTGCCCTTTTGTATTTTATTTTGGTGAACATTTCCAGTTCCCACCCCAAGCCAGTTTATACACAACCATGGTTTATACACAAGGGCCTGACAGGATTCAAGCCTTTAAGCCAGTGGTCTCAACCATGTCTACACAAGTCTAAAAATACCTTCCCCATTCTTTCCAGCGATCCTTCTTTTCAGGAAACCATCAACCACCAAGGAGAAACAGCCGGTTTTTGAAAAGAACGATGGTTGAAAAGAGTGGACAGGGAATCAACCCCTAGAGCAACTTGGCTCGCTCGACCGAATGGAAGCGCTCGCCTGAGGCCTCGGTGGTGAGCTTCGGCGCCATGTTGGACGCCTGCGCCAAGGCCAAGGACCCCCAGCGCGCGCTGAGGCGAATGGCGGGGCGGTTTTTGCGGTCGAGCGGTCGAGGGGCGGAGTCGGCGGAGTCGGAAGTTAGGTCCCGGTGATTTTCGATGTGGCTGTGGGTCAACAATGGGATCCCATTTTAGGGTAGGTGAATTCAAATCCACCCATTTTAGAACCTATAGTGGGGATTGGGATGTTCACTGGGGGTTCGATTTGGATTTTGACCCATGGCCATGTGGGTCAAAATTAAGCCACCAGGAAAGGGAGCGCAGGTCTTAGTCTAGGTTTCCATTTAGCAGGGTTCCCCGAAGGTCTTCTGCTACGTTACTTTGGGCTCTAGAGAATCTGGCTGGCTTTCAAGACTAGAGCGGTGAGGAGACACCAACGAGCAATGATCCGCAGCTTGCTGAAGTTACTTGCGTTCACCCACGACTTCCTTCGACTGCCAGGTGGCATGAGACGATGCTGGCTCGTGGCCTGCGGCCGAAGCTTGGCGAGTGTGCAGTCCCAGATCCCCGGCGTTTGGCCAATCATGGACGTGGACAGGGGCTTTCCCAAAAGGAAATTGTTCTGATCCAAAGCCCTGAGATCAGCTTCCAGGATGGAAGGAGCCAGGCATTTGGCTGGTGCCCATGGGCAAGCGACTCAGTGGAATCAGCGCATCGACCCAATCTGCCTTTTGGTTTTGTCCTTGGTCTCAAAGTTCGCCTAAATCTTGGGCCGGAATCACAAGGTCCTTCCCAACTTGCCCAAGAAGATAAGTGGTTAAAGCCTATGCAAGTATCCACACTAAACTTCTGCCAGCGGTTTGATGGGTTCGGAATCAAGTCCAAGGTGACCACCTGCTTTTCCAGCCCCCCGGGTTTTGCCCCCCCACCACTCTTGCCTCGATCCCCCAAAACCGAAAACCGGGTGGTTGCCGACGGCCGAGTCACTGAGGGACTTGACTCCGATCGAAATCCGAGGAACAACACCACCTGCACGGCGCTGGCTGTGGCTTTGGCGCGGGCCGGGGACTTCGCGCAGGCCCTGGGAGCGTTGGAGGCGATGGAGGACTTCGGGCTCCAGGGGGATGACGCTTGCCATGGG